TCACCTTTACAGTGACATAGGTGATACAATCAGTTGATGTAAAATCTCACTTTTACAGGAACGAAAGTGACACAATCAGTTGATGTAAAATCTCACCTTTACAGGAACGACAGTGACACAGTCAGTTGATGTAAAATCTTACTTTTACAGTAAAAAAAGTGACACAATCAGCTGATGCAAAAACTCACCTTTACCGTAAAGAAAGTGATACAATCAGTTGATGTCAAATCTCATTTTTACCATAAAGAAAGTGACACAATCAACTGATGTAAACTCTCATTTTTACCATAAAGAAAGTGACACAGTCAGCTGATGTAAAATCTCACTTTTACATGAACGAACGTGACGCCATCAGTTGATGTAAAATCTCACCTTTACAGGAACGAAAGTGACACAATCAGTTGATGTAAAATCTCACTTTTACAGTAAAGAAAGTGACACAATCAGCTGATGTAAAATCTCACGTTTACAGGAACGAAGGTGACACAATCAGTTGACGTAAAATCTCACTTTTACAGGAACGAAAGTGACATAATCAGTTGATGTTAAATCTCACCTTTACAGGAACGACAGTGACACAATCAGTTGATATAAAATCTCACTTTTACAGTAAAGAAAGTGACACAATCAGCTGATGCAAAAACTCACCTTTACCGTAAAGAAAGTGACACAATCAGTTGATGTAAAATCTCACCTTTACAGTAAAGAAAGTGACACAATCAGCTGATGCAAAAACTCACCTTTACCGTAAAGAAAGTGACACAATCAGCTGATGTAAACTCTCACTTTTACCATAAAGAAAGTGACACAGTCGGCTGATGTAAAATCTCACTTTTACTGGAACGAAAGTGACACAATCAGTTGATGTAAATCTCATCTTTACAGGAACAAAATTGACACAATCAGTTGATGTAAAATCTCACTTTTACAGTAAAGAAAGTGACACAATCAGCTGATGTAAAATCTCACGTTTACAGGAACGAAAGTGACACAATCAGTTGATGTAACCTCTCACTTTTACAGAATCGAAAGTGACACAATCAGTTGATGTAAAATCTCACTTTTACAGTAAAGAAAGTGACACAATCAGCTGATGTAAAATTTCACCTTTACCGTAAAGAAAGTGACACAATCAGCTGATGTAAAAACTCACCTTTACAGTAAGGAAAGTGTCACAATCAGCTGATGTAAAATATCATCTTTACAATAAAGAAAGGGACACAATCAGCTGATGTAAAATCTCACCTTTACCGTAAAGAAAGGGACACAATCAGCTGATGTAAAATCTCACCTTTACCGTAAAGAAGTGACACAATCAGTTGATGTAAAATCTCACCTTTACAGTAAAGAAAGTGACACAATCAGCTGATGTAAAATCTCACGTTTACAGGAACGAAAGTGACACAATCAGTTGATGTAAATCTCATCTTTACAGGAACAAAATTGACACAATCAGTTGATGTAAAATCTCACTTTTACAGAATCGAAAGTGACACAATCAGCTGATGTAAAATCTCACGTTTACAGGAACGAAGGTGACACAATCAGCTGATGTAAAATCTCACCTTTACCGTAAAGAAAGTGACACAATCAGCTGATGTAAAAACTCACCTTTACAGTAAGGAAAGTGTCACAATCAGCTGATGTAAAATCTCAACTTTACAGTAAAGAAAGTGACACAATCAGCTGATGTAAAAACTCACCTTTACAGTAAGGAAAGTGTCACAATCAGCTGATGTAAAATCTCAACTTTACAGTAAAGAAAGTGACACAATCAGCTGATGTAAAATCTCACTTTTACAGGAAAGAAAGTGATACAAACAGTTGATGTAAAATCTCACTTTTATATTACAGAAAGTGACACAATCAGCTGATGTTAAATCTCACCTTTACCGTAAAGAAAGTGACACAATCAGCTGATGTAAACTCTCACTTTTACCGTAAAGAAAGTGACACAGTCAGCTGATGTAAAATCTCACCTTTATAATAAATAAAAAGGGACACAATCAGCCGTTGTAAAATCTTACCTTTACAATAAAGAAAGGGACACAATCAGCTGCTGTATACAATAAAGAAAGTGACACAATCAGCTGCTGTAAACAATAAAGAAAGTGACACAATCAGCTGATGTAAAATCTCACTTTTATATTAACGAAAGTGACACAATCAGCTGATGTAAAATCTCACTTTTATATTAAAGAAAGTGACACAATCAGCTGATGTTAAATCTCACCTTTACCGTAAAAAAGTGACACAATCAGTTGATGTAAAATCTCACTTTTACAGTAAAGAAAGTGTCACAATCAGCTGATGTAAAGTATCATCTTTACAATAAAGAAAGTGACACAATTAGCTGATGTAAAATCTCACCTTTACAATAAAGAAAGTGACACAAACAGTTGATGTAAAATCTCACCTTTACAGTAAAGAAAGTGTCACAATCAGCTGATGATGTAATTTATAAGTTCACCTTTATGATAAAAATGTAACGCAAATAGCTGAAGTAAATTATCGCATTTACAATTAAGAATGCAGCACAAGCTGCTCATGTAAATTCATCACATTTATAGTAAAGCTTAAGTTAAGCTATCACCTGTCAATGGGCCACATGTTGGTGAGGAGTTTGCTGTGTTTCATCCCTGTCACATAATTAGGTTAGATACTAGGTAAGTTTATCAATACATCATGAGATGCGTTATCTCTAAGAAATATTTCCCTTTTTTGCTGATGTAGGCTGATGATACTGTCATATTCTCCGAGTCAGCTTCTTGTTTACAAGACATGTTAGACTCTTTGAAACAGCACAGCAACAACTGGCAACTTACGGTAAATATTGATGAGACAAAATATTATAATTATTACAAATTGTTAATACATGTAGTTATAACTACCTAGGTATTACATTGAATTGTAACGGCAAATTTACAAAAACTCAATTTATTATTGCTGATCAAGGACGCAAATGTATGTTCAACATTTAGAAAATATGTAACAATTTATCCCTCAGTACTGAGTCAAAGCTAAAGGTGTTTGAAGTCAAGTCTCCACTGTCCTTAATTATGTTTGTGAAGTATGGGGTTTTAATGCTGCTGATAAGGTTGGAAAAGTACATATAAAAAGAACACTGAATGTTAAAAGGAGTACTCCGTCTGGCGTAGGGAGCTAGGACGTTCACCTTTACAAATTTTGCGTAAGTGTCGAATAATCAAATATTGGCTGAAATCAATGAAAACTGACAATTGTATTCTAAAGTCAACCTTAGATTAAATTTTAAATTTCGACTATCATCGCATCAGTAATGCATTGAAACAAATTCTAATACCCCGAGAGTAAATAGAATATGTAAATAGTGTGATCAACACTCAGTAGAGGACGGATTTTATTATGTTTTAATATGTCCGCTTTATGCAGAGTTACGTAAAAATACATTAAAACCTATTACTGCAACAGACCGTCTTCATTTAAACTGGTACAGTTGCTAGCAATACATAATAGAAAAGAACTATTTAATATCGGTAAACACCTGCAATAAAGTCTCCTAGCACGGTCAGGATTTCAAACTTAGCATGCTGTACAATTATTAACTTATATCAAGTTCATGAGCGCGTGGTATAGGTTCGTCTCCTAACGTACAGGATATTGATTATCCTCCTTTCGGTGTACCCCAGGTGATTATATAGTGTGTTTTACTATATGTTGTCCATTTGTAATCAAGCCTTACAACACGGTCAAATTACCGAAAAGATTATCTACATTGTTTTAAAATATGTCCTTTTTAGGGTACGTCTGCTAATTATAAATGTCAAATCATATATACTGTCCATTTTTGTACCTCCGAAATCCTTCCAAGAACTCACTGCAGCATCAGCTACCTAGCACCATGCTAGCCTTAATTCATAACATGCAATGAATTCCTTCACTTAAATAATAGATAACACACAGACAATGGTATTGGCGTAATTGGCTAACCTTCATCAGGATGCCGGAATTTAATTTTTTATCTTTGATCAAAATAACACATGTAGATATATTTAAACAGAATAATGTAATGCAATATGCCATACATAGTGCCTACACTCAATTTCATAAAAGTATTTTAATAGAAAAGTGTAATAACATACACACTGTTCATAGTTGTGTATGACCTGTACAGGATAATACGTCCATGTAGATACTGTCAGTCTAGAATGGGTCGTTGTTTTCCAAATCCCTTGTACAGTTGCTAGCAGTTCGTAATAGGAAAGAACTTTGTCATTTAGGTAAATATTTACAATCAAGTTTACTATTACGCTCGACATATGTGCATTGTTTAATTATCATGTGCATGCTTTTTCTTTTTATCTCCAGATAAAAACTGATTACTTCTTACTTCATTTGATTGAGATTCTTCCAATCTTTCAATCATGTACATTACTTCAATTAATCATCTCATTAATATTTTTCTTTTGTCATTTGTATTCTCATGTGCGTACAACTGTCCGCCATCTATCAAATCAGCTTGTCTTGTACAATGTAGGTTATGTTACATGCTATTCAATATTTGTGTAATGTTTTCGGAACCCTTATTGTACATGTACACATTAATTACTCTGTATTATGCTGTAATGCTTATGGGCTGTAAGGCTGAAAGTGAATAAACAATACAATACAATACAAGGTGATGTCATATCCATATGATTCTGTAGGATAAGTCTATGTCATTGTTATCATTGTATAAATGTTGTAATACTATGCCTATGAGCCACAACAATGAAAGCTAATAAACAATACAATACGGCTGGTTCCATGGTTAGATTATATAAGCCTAGTATTTACTAATGACTTGCCGATAATCAGTGACACATATCCGTGTTTACGCTGGGAGCCAATCACCTGTTGAGCTTCTACAGTATAAAGCTGTCACTACTGAAAATGACCTGTACAGAACCCACTCGGCAGACACTCACCTGCGTCCTGTTGATTGTCTCCTGGAAAGAGGTTTCTGTTGTTACATCAATTAAAATATCCAATTGAACGGTCTTAATTTCCGTGTGTGATCCATAGGAGCATTATTGAAAACGCTTTATCATTATTGACGACATGGATACTACGAACAATTAGGATACGGAAAATTAATTGGATATGGATAAAATTTTAGCGTTCCTGATCCTCGCCAGTCTGGTCGTTAGTGTCCGGACGATGGTCAACACCCCGGCGCTGAGACTTCTGCTGCTGTTACCGGAGCGGAAGGGCAGCTTTTACTACCCATTTGGAATGGAGAAGACAGGAGCAGCGGGTAAGTTATTGGTAGATATGTGTCATGTTGATGTAAAGCATTGTCGCATGATAAGTTTAGATAAATATCTATTAGTATGGTAGAAACTACCTGTCTAACTTTTGTAAATACTTATTTACTGGTTTATGTTCAAAACCGCATCCTCAAGAAAATGAACAATGACAGACACATGTCAGACGATATTGCCGTCTTATTTTTTTCTTAGATATTTCGCCTCCTTGTTAACTGATTATTTGATATATTAACGTCAATATGAATTGCAAAACAAATTCATTTTTAATAAATCAAAACGTTTGTCAGTCAAAAGTATGGATACCATAACAATTATGTTTTGAAATTTAAATTTTCAATGAAAACCAATTAACATCATCTTTTGCACAACGTATACATTGGTGCCAGCGTTACATCGATAGTATATAATGTTCATGATTTCAACCTACAAAATAAAGAACATTGAACGTTGATATATAAGATACGGTTTTCCCCGGGACGTCAACCCTGTAATCTTCTTACCATTGAAGGACCCCCGCACCGCAGCCAAAAACTTATATCAGACATCCCGGCACGACTATAGCTTTAATAATCATTCCTGAAAAGAAATTTTTCCTTGTGGGACTTATACAAAAAGTAATAATAATACTCACTAGTACCCTGTGTGTAAAGGGTCAGCATGGCTAGACCGAGATTCGAACCCTGAACCTCGAATTGTTATACTGTCGCTCTAACTAACTGAACTGTCTGGTCAACGGAGGTGGTGTGGACCAACTGTGCTACAGCTGTATCCTAGACGAAATTAAGGACAGGTTACTAAATAATAATACTAATAATAATAACTCAAGGTTCTTATATACCGCTGTATCACAACTTAGTTCGTAGGTCGTCTCAAAGCGGTTCACAAATTATTATCCGTGGTTATAAGGCCTTTGCAACCAGCCAATATTTTTCTCAACTGGCCAACTCCCTCGGGAGCATACAGCCGGAGCTGCCATTTCGGCGCTAATAGCTAGCATTCTACAATTCCAGCACTACCCAACCACGTATTCATTTACAGCTGAGTAGACTGGAACAAACGGAGTAAAGTATCTTGCTCAAAGATACAACACAGTGCCGTGCCGTGACTCGAACACACAACCCTTCGGTCACGAGCCGGCGTCCTACCACTAGACTATCGTGCCCCCTACTCTAGCTTAATATAATATAATACATTTATGATTAGGAGAAGAATTAAGTGAAGCGGTCAGCATGAAATGTGAAGGCGAATGAAAGATGTACTGATCAGTGTGTTAAATCTTGAAAGTAATATGTGAAAATATCACGGTATGTACATTATTTGAAGGCGATTCTAGACACCCATGTATGTATATATATAAAATAAAAGACAAGGGTTTCTTAGACTTCCCAAGCGCTTTCTCCTCTTTAGAAATGATATATATACTAGATATACGGGGGAAACCCCGATTTCAGTGGGGCAGGGACCATTAATATCACGTTTTGGGTAAACAAAGGGCTGATATCCATAATTTGCAACACACGTTGTACCGGAATTTCCTTGCGACTAAGTTGATTTACTGAACGTTTACATGTTAAAAAGCCCGTACATTATTAGGGACATAGTGATATTCGTGTGACAAGTTAGAAAGAATTAACTCGTAGTGAACGAGTATAAAATTGATCGTAAATGTTATTTATTTAAACAGAGAAGTTTAAATGACGGTACTTACATATGAACGTACTACTAAAGCACCTTTGACATATTTTACTTTTAATATGTAAGCTTCCTGAAGCAATTAACAGCACAATCTGATAACGAATGATGACAATACGTAGTTACCGAAATAATGACGTCTCATTACCATAACATAAAATATAGACTCATAATTATTGAATACACGGAATAATGAATTGGTAACCAATTTATTGAATATCCAATAACATAGATAGATATCAAAGCATACATTTTGCAAATTTTTGCATTTTGCGTAAGTTTGAATGTTGACCTGTTTTACTTACTTTAGCTAACATAATATAAATAACGGGTATTCTTTCGAATAAAACAAGCGATTTCTTCTCTAGAAATATGTTTGTTGTTTGCGTGAGAGGTTATACGTCAGCTTAACTACAAAGTAGTTCGTTTACAGCACAACCATATTGGTTACAATGTAACAATTAAGATCAAGTTTTACAATAATAACGATAATAATAATTCACCGCTTTATCACAACCTAGTTCGTAAGTAGTCTCAAAGCGGTTCACATATTACACAATACTGCAGTGACCTGCTTTTAGATTGACTGAAATTGTTGATGGATGTCAAGACGACTTGATCAGAAGTGAGTTAAAATAGTGTAAATATTTAACAATGTAGAATATGGACACTCCAACACATAACGACAGGTGTCGACTGAACTCAATACATAACACGCAAAACAAAGCATATGGCAGTGTGTTTATGGTACTAAAGTCATTGCCTCTACCAAAGAAAAGATAAGACACCTATATCCTCTGTGATCAGCTTACATTTTCAATAATCCATATTGCATTTACAACTGAACCAACCTATTCTGATGAAAACAAATGCTGTTTTATGCTTGTTCAGCGCTCTACCTCAATGTTGTTTCGGTCTCACTCCGGGTCTTTGTGATTGCACATACTACAATAAAGTGACTTTACATTAGCCACCTAACGAGGGGATTTCATTAATGTCGCTGATAAAACCCATCCTCGATATCTAGGGGTTACGTTCACTTTCGCTCTCTACAGCGAAAGTGAGCGTAACCCCTGGATTTTGAGGATGCCCGGGGCCATAGCCCCGAATGAACAATTACAAATATGATCACCGATCTGTTAAAATGTAACAATTTTACGTACAACTCTAATTGTTATAGACAATGAATCAAGTATGTACTAACACTGTTATAATGGTAACAATCAGATATGGGTGTGGTCATGAGAATTTCATAGTTTCTATAGTAGACTAGTCAATCATAAGGGAAATGATAAATAGAATAAATATGTATAATTTTATCAGCTTTTTGTTTATTTATAAGTCATAAATACATTTTAAATTTAATTCAAATTATTTAAATTAATAAGGAAATATCCGCCGCTTACGTCAAACGGATTAAAAAAAACAATGTACTTGCTTTCAGTGCTTTAAGATCAGATTTGAGACAATCACAATCCCTCCATACAGATTACTCCATAAACAGAATAAATGAGATAATTATATCATATATTTTCATTTTACTAAATATAACCCTATCACTTTCAGATGGCATTTATATAGGCGATGAATACCATGCGGCGATTGTTGATGTCGTCATCATTATTATTGTGTCATTATTGTAAGGTTGGATACCTCCCGGACAAATGGCTGTTCTATTCATTGAACAAGCATTTACGAAAAAAAATATTTTAACTGAACGATGAATGATAATAAGATTGAACTGCTTTCAGGTTGCATTCTTAGGCACTCAGAGGCAAATTTGAATACCAACAGAACAAATGCAAATTAAATGAAGCGCACTCCAGTTGGCATTCTTTTTTAACTATGACTGTCACCTGAAAGCAGTTCTATGCTTAAATTTAATCGTCTCAGAAACGCCCTGTTTATCAAATGTAGAACCTGACCAATGGACCTAATTAATTTGTGCCAGGTTTTGAGCATCCTCGGTCCTTTAATTGGACGTAGGTGTGAATTACGTACCTTTTGTAATATAATCAATATATGTTACCACCAATTACAGTGCTCTAAACACCTGTGGTCAATCTGTTTAGTGTACTCATGTTTCCTCACGCTAGCCGTCTTATACGTTACCAGGACATCATTATACTAGTGAAGCTCTCATCAAGACCCCACCTGCTGATAGAGGGGCATATATATAATTGTCACTTTGAGATTGAGACGGGTAGGATTAGGGCGGGGGTAATTCAATAATAACCGTTTGTTTACACGGTTAGGTAACTCAACAATGTTTCGAAGGAATTCATTTGATTCAATAACAGCAAGACTTCTTTTTGGGAAGTTCGAAAATTCTAACAAAAAATCAAAACTTCTTTGCTTGTATACAGAGGTTTACCCATTGTGAATAGTGTTAGGGATGATTGATGTATGCCAACACATATCTTAAAGTAATTAGAATGATCGTCAAGGCATGCGTACTCATGCATAACATTGACTTGACTTTGTTGTGTGTTAGAATGTGCATAAAAAATACTTTGATACAGGAGAAACAAGAAGTGACATTACTTGCTCTCAGTTGATCATCGTTTAGTGTTATTTATCAAGCGTGTACAAACCCTGTGTAATAGAGGTGTCAAGTCCTGTTATATATAGAGGTTACACAACGAGTGGTTGTTGAATATGGTATTTATTTCGCTTGAGTTAGTTAATTTTCAAAAGTTACAAAAGACACGAGCTTTAGCGAATGTCTTTCTGTAACTTTTGAAAATTAACTAATGAGAGTGAAATAAATACCATCCCAACAACCACGAGTCGTGTGATCTGTATCTACCACAATCTCATGATCGGTTGGAAATAACACACACACATGTGTTTGTTGACAAGGCTGGCGTAGTGATATGACCCATATGTAAAAAGTCACTCATTAATATTCAAAAATGACTTCTTTTTTTACAAATTTAATTATTGTCAAAATTAATGTTTCGGCAACAACTTCATGAAAAAATAAAATAGTTGATCGACTTTAAATATTGAGAGTAGCAGTATTGCATTAATTTATATAAATTAACCACGGACTTTATGCGCGTAAGCATATCGTACGAAGTCTGTGTCCCGCCAAGTGATGAACTCACCGTAACTCACCGACGTTGGAGACGAACCTATCGCTGTCAATATCCAAAACCATAGGCCTACGTTTCTTCGTGACGGTTCTATGGTTGACGTTTATAGTGAAAGTTCAGACATAGTCCGATCGTTTAAATAGCGATAACGGGACGTTGGGAGAACGAAATATTTCCCGACACTAGATGGGACAGATCTTATTTGGTTTCACGACCTGGACACGCGACGGTGTGACGTCGAAACGATATCGAGCGTCTGTAGCAATTTTGCCTGAAACTAGCGATCAAATATTTAAGTATCATCTTTTAATATTGTCTTAATAACCCCCCTTTCCGCATAACCTCACAAAGTCATCAACATTTGTCGGATGTTGACAGCCGACGACGTAAACAAAACAGCAGGTGGCAAAAAGCACGTGGAAAAAGTCTTCCCGGTCAAAGTTCATCTTCTCGACCAATCAAAACTCTTGAATGTCATATACCACGTGTGGTATATAACTCATATTTATCGAACAGTCTGCTTGTTTATACAATTATCTGAGAGTGGAATAACACAGCCTATTGTGGTAGAAACTGGTATACCAAGCTACGCTTATCATATGGAAGTTGATGGATTATCCAGACTACACTATTTTTCTGGAACATACCTCGTATATACAAATATATGAAAAAGAACTACTCGAAAAAAACACTTTCAGAGAGTATGTACATATTTCTCTCATTTCCGTGTGTGTAAGATAGAGCTGCTCAGGGTAAGAAATGGGTGCAGGAAATTTCTTTCTCTTACCCTGGACAGGGATATCCACCATTTTACCGGTGTGAGATTTTCTTATCTCACCCTAGGGTTGAGACAAGCTACACGTGTTCTTTGCACGTTCTCAACAATTGTATGACGTCATAGCAACAATACCATGACGTCACGGCAACAACACAATGACGTCACGTCGACAATTCAGTCGCATCACATCAACATTGTCTTGCATTGATGTAACGTCTATATAAAATACATAAGAGGGTAAACAGGGTAAGAGAAAAATAATCATTCCCCCCCTTGGGAGTGAGACAGGGTGATCTCAAACCTCGGGGTAAGATTCTTAAGCTGTCAAACACTCGGCAAGCCTCGTGTTTGACAACTTAAGAATCTTACCCCTCGGGTTGAGATTACCCTGTCTCACCCTCAAGGGGGTGAAAGATTCTATTAATCTTACACCCCATTTCACGTGACGTGACATCACAATGACTGAACAAGGACGTGACGTCACACATTCCATTGCCGCAATGCGGGAAATGCCTTTTAAACCTTTACGATATATTTACCATACATATTAGAAAGATGACATTTTTTTATGCGCAAACACAATTTTGCAAATATGGGGTACGCCAAATCTGGCTGTATAATTCGTTTTCATCTAAAGGCTCAGGGGGAAATTAATATTTTCAAAATAGTAGCTAGTTTAAACGCATTTTTTTATGCTTTCCGAACTTTTTTCAGGTAGTTGGAATGAGAGAAAAATTATCTTTCATGCCAATGGGTGTAGGATCCCTAAATTCCACCCGCGGGAATTTCAAATTGGCAAATTTCAAATTTGAAAACCCCTCTGGAGGAATTTTCCTTTCCTGCATTGGCATGAAAAAGTCTTAAATTCTTTAATGTGATTTCAATTTTCCCATAGTGTACGTTGCTTTGGATGACATTAAGGCGGATGGTCTCCTGCTAAACATGACCATAGAGGTGGACAGAATCAACACAAAATGTAACGACGTGTACGCTCTCGGTAAGTACAGAACGACATTCTTATAATCTCACAATATACCGATGTGTACGCTCTCGGTAAGTACAGAAGGACATTCTTACAATCTCACAATATCACGACGTGTACGCACTCGGTAAGTACAGAACGACGATCTTATAATCTTACAATATAACGACGTGTACGCTCTCGGTAAGTACAGAACGACATTCTTACAATCTCACAATATCACGACGTGTACGCTCTCGGTAAGTACAGAACGACGATCTTATAATCTTACAATATAACGACGTGTACGCTCTCGGTAAGTACAGAACGACATTCTTTCAATCTCACAATAAAACGACGTGTACGCTCTCGGTAAGCACAGAACGACATTCTTACAATCTCACAATATAACGACGTGTACGCTCTCGGGAAGTACAGAACGTCATTCTTACAATCTCACAATATAACGACGTGTACGCTCTCGGCAAGTACAGGACGACATTCTTATAATCTCACAATATAACGACATGTACGCTCTCGGTAATTACAGGACGACATTCTTATAATCTCACAATATAACGATGTGTACGCTCTCGGTAAGTACAGAACGACATTCTTTCAATCTCACAATAAACCGACGTGTACGCTCTCGGTAAGCACAGAACGACATTCTTACAATCTCACAATTTAACGACGTGTACGCTCTCGGTAAGTACAGAACGCCATTCTTATAATCTCACAATATAACGAAGTTTACGCTCTCTGTAAGTACAGAACGCCATTCTTATAATCTCACAATATCACGACGTGTACGCTCTCGGTAAGTACAGGACGACATTCTTATAATCTCAGGTAAGCACAGAACGACATTCTTACAATCTCACAATTTAACGACGTGTACGCTCTCGGTAAGTACAGAACGCCATTCTTATAATCTCACAATATAACGAAGTTTACGCTCTCGGTAAGTACAGAACGCCATTCTTATAATCTCACAATATAACGGCGTGTACGCTCACGGTAAGTACAGAACGGCATTCTTGTAATCTCACAATATAACGATGTGTACGCTCTCGTTAAGTACAGAACGACATTCTTATAATCTAACAATATAACGATGTGTACGCTCTCGGTAAGTACAGGACGACATTCTTATAATCTCACAATATAACGACGTGTACGCTCACGGTAAGTACAGAACGACATTCTTGTAATCTCACAATATAACGATGTGTACGCTCTCGGTAAGTACAGAACGACATTCTTATAATCTCACAATATAACGATGTGTACTCTCTCGGTAAGTACAGGACGACATTTTTATAATTTACAATATAACGACGTGTACGCTCTCGGTAAGTACAGAACGACACTCTTATAATCTCACAATATAACGACGTGTACGCTCACGGTAAGTGCAGAACGACATTCTTGTAATCTCACAATATAACGATGTGTACGCTCTCGGTAAGTACAGAACGACATTCTTATAATCTCACAATATAACGATGTGTACGCTCTCGGTAAGTACAGAACGACATTCTTATAATCTCACAATAAAACTATGTGTACGCTCTCGGTTAGTACAGAACGACATTCTTATAATCTCACAATAATACGACGTGTACGCTCTCGGTAAGTACAGAACGCCATTCGTATAATCTCACAATATCACGACGTGTACGCTCTCGGTAAGTACAGAACGACACTCTTATAATCTCACAATATAACGACGTGTCCGCTCTCGGTAAGGACAGGACGACATTCTTATAATCTCACAATATAACGACGGGTACGCTCTCGGTAAGTACAGGACGACATTCTTATAATCGACGTGTACGCTCTCGGTAAGTACAGAACGCCATTCGTATAATCTCACAATATCACGACGTGTACGCTCTCGGTAAGTACAGAACGACACTCTTATAATCTCACAATATAACGACGTGTCCGCTCTCGGTAAGGACAGGACGACATTCTTATAATCTCACAATATAACGCCGTGTACGCTCTCGGTAAGTACAGGACGACATTCTTATAATCGACGTGTACGCTCTCGGTAAGTACAGAACGCCATTCGTATAATCTCACAATATCACGACGTGTACGCTCTCGGTAAGTACAGAACGCCATTCTTATAATCTCACAATATACCGACGTGTACGCTCTCGGTAAGTACAGGACGACATTCTTATAATCTCACAATATAACTTTCTTTCTGCGATGTGAAGGTTGATGTTATCTTAATGCTCCGTAGTAAGCCTTATGGTTTTATTATTGCCACTTGAGTGCTCGATGTGATAATTTGACATTACTTGGATTTTACCTACAATTCAAACGTAGGTGTCGTTAATGAAGCAGATGATGTTTACCATCCGGAACACCTGGTCTTATTCTCCTTGTACTTTCTCATGGCTCTCCATGCGAAACTTTCGATTTTTCATATTTTGCTCTAGTTTATCGATTTTGAGTTCAAATTATGGTTTTGTTGAAACATCAGGACTGTCTTGTCTTGTCTTTTTTTATTTCATTTTTATATATTACTACAAAAAACAAGAGAATACTACGTCATAATTCGAACTCAGAATAGATAAAACTAAGGTAAACAATTAACAGAGGAAAGATTTACACAGATACCGTTGAAAAAGTACAAGGCGAATAAGACTAGGTTTTCCCGAAAGGCACGACATCTTTAACCCTTGTCCTGGATTTTTGAGAAAGAAAATCCGTCCAAACCAAGTAATGCGTTTCATGTAGCACTAACAGAAAAAACCTGAAATGTTCAGCATTGTACATGTAACGTTGTTTGTATTAGGAGTGGGGAGTGACTATCTACATACACACACGTACCACGGTATTATAGGACCGCAGTGCTCGGGAGTATGTCGTCACATAGGCAGGTTGGCTGCCTATTACAATCTTCCATGTTTGACGGGTGTTTGCCAAGATACAGAAATGCTCAACAAAGACACGTTCAAGGTACAGTCAAATGTTATATGCGACCCCCCCCCCCCCCCCCCCCCCCCCCTTGTGATTTCATTGTGATACCTGTATAAAGAGACCACCTGTATTCGGAGGCCACCACCTATGTTAAGAGATCACTTTTAAGCCCCCAACCCACTCACCCCTGTGATTTCATTGTGATACCTGCATTAAGAGACCACCTGCATTCGGAGGCCACCACCTATGTTAAGAGATCACTTTTAAGCCCCCCACCCACCCTCCCTTGTGATTTCATTGTGATACCTGCATTAAGAGACCACCTGCACTAAACACGTTTTCGGACTTCTCGAGAATGGTCTCTTACTACAAGATTGACTGTGTATTATATCAGAACGAATGCGTCTTCACAATCAATCTGTGTTTACGTTTTTAAAGTCATAACAACGGTCTTGGAAATGTTTATGTAATCTATCGTGTTACTTAGATTCCTGTTGTGTTAAAATATGTGGATTTTGGTTTCTTTGATCGCAATTCAATAAATATATTCAATTGTTACGTTTTTGGAAGATTTAAAACCCTGTACGCTGTTAAATGAGCGTTCATCGTTGTCAACGCTTTTCTGGAAGTATTTATCAACGATATTATATTTTCTTTGGGCATGTTTTAAAACAGATGACTATAAATCAACGTTTTTTAATATTAGTATATACTAAGCTGACAATGTATCATGTATTATTGAGTTGAAACGTTGTATATATATATATATATATGAAGCAAATGAAATCTATCACTCTGCTAATTATCCGTTGAGGCGTTTCCTTGCTCCTGATTGTTCGACCAATTAACGAACATGAAAGCTGTGCTGACAAATACAAAATCACAGTTCTCAATCATGTCAAGAATATCGAAAGCAACGAGATGAGTTTATGCATACAGAGACAAAAGACGGGCTTCTTTTAATATACTCATACAACATTGTGCCTGGGTATTACTGACAATTATGACTGAATGAATATGTGAATTGAAAGGCAACATGTTCATAACCATATAATTTCAACATAGTATTGTGTGTCTGCAACGTGCACATGATCCGATAGCTATCTAATTCAAACGATCTATATAAAGTGATCAATAGATTGGGTAAATGTTAGGATAGGCAGCACACTTATATACAAAACAACAAGTCATTAAAAGATAATGTCGACATTTTACCAGATTATGTCGACAAAATGTCGATATAGGTAAATCGCCAGTCGAAAGTCGATGGCAGAACTATAACACCATACGGTCCAAACAATGGTCGAGATGGATGGAGTAAATAAATAAACTCTATGGCGTTATTCAGTTTTGTGCACATTTTAAAAAATTCGTGAAAAAATCTATTCTTTTAATATAGATAGCTAATGCTCCATATTAATGCGTTGACTTGAAGTCTATATATACATGTAACATACCTTCCATTTTTTCTAGCCTGTAATTTCCCCCTCATTAATACTTTATGTATCTAGAGAACTCCCGGTTTAAGTCTACATATCATAACAGGCTGTGGACATTTATCCACCCACCAATATGGAATAGAAACAGCACAATAACATCAGGTGTAGCCTGTATCAGAAAATGATGTACGCTTTACCCCGAGGGCTCTCTGGTCGGTATGTACTTTAACATGTGTTGTATCTCCTATTCATCCTGCATCGTAATTAACATATTGAAGAGTTATACGTCTAGTTCCTGTTGAAAATTAATTGATTCGACTTATAACATTATAAAACTCGAGTGGTTGAGAGTGTGTCTAAACACTTTCTTAATGTAAATATAAATTGTATTTAAACGGTTTTTCACAGGATATACCACAGTATTTTATAACCCATTTTATGTATTTGTTCCTAAATCACTAAAATTGCCGATGTTGGACCTAACGATGCTAAAACTCTGCGTCTGATCAGTCTGGAATGCTCCATCTCAAAATATGTATACTGGTATTAATTGATTTTCATTTCCAAATCAAGCTGTTAGAGCTATAAACAATGCTATAGATATGCATATATTGATTCTTTAGAAGGTTGCATGAGTCTGATTTTATCATTTTAGATATAAAAAAAAGTTTGACTTACAAAATTTGAAACTAATGTTCCCGATGTTTTACAAAACGAGTTTGTTATGTAAACAATGGAGTCACACGGTCATCATCCTTCAACGAAACCGTACATACCAATGACCCAAATCCGCCACTGTGACGTCACAAGTACCACGTGACTGGTACGCTCATTAAAATGATCACCAGTATATCTAAGTAACATGACACTTCTGAACGCTCGTTGAAGGATGATTCGGTATTAATCCAAGTGTATTACAGGTGTCACTTATGTTTTTTAAAAGTAAAATATCTTGGCCAAAATTCTTTAATCAGAACAAACAAGCTTTAAAAATCGTTCACATATATATGAACTGTAATGTGAATCGTTAGAAAAGTCTGCGGTGTGGGTTTTATCTGACAGAACTATACTGTGAAAACCTTATACCGTCTGTGATATATAATTTTCATATTGTAGAAGTTTATTATGCACATATTCTGTATATATGTATTAATGCAGTAGTCAAGTCATTCATTTAGTTTCGTTATTTTCCTATAGACGTTTATGTATATAACAGTGAATGCAGTAACTCAGAAACAAATCATATTGTGTAGAACGCATTTACCTGTGTTGAGACTTATACCACGCGCTTCAGACCGGTCAACAGACTATTATTAATATGGGACTGATATACATGTATTTCATTAATGTGTGTAATGAACACATAAACAGTTACTTACATGTGTGTAATGAACACATAAACAGTTACTTACTTGTGTGTAATGAACAGATAAACAGTTACTTACATGTGTATAATGAACACATAAACAGTTACTTACTTGTGTATAATGAACAGATAACCAGTTACTTACATGTGTGTAATGAACAGATAAACAGTTACTTACATGTGTATAATAAACAGATAACCAGTTACTTACATGTGTGTAATGAACAGATAACCAGTTACTTACATGTGTGTAATGAACAGATAACCAGTTACTTACATGTGTATAATGAACAGATAACCAGTTACTTACATGTGTATAATGAACAGATAACCAGTTACTTACATGTGTATAATGAACAGATAACCAGTTACTTACATGTGTATAATGAACAGATAACCAGTTACTTACATGTGTATAATGAACAGATAACCAGTTACTTACATGTGTATAATGAACAGATAACCAGTTACTTACATGTGTATAATGAACAGATAACCAGTTACTTACATGTGTATAATGAACAGATAACCAGTTACTTACATGTGTATAATGAACAGATAACCAGTTACTTACATGTGTATAATGAACAGATAACCAGTTACTTACATGTGTATAATGAACAGATAACCAGTTACTTACATGTGTATAATGAACAGATAACCAGTTACTTACATGTGTATAATGAACAGATAACCAGTTACTTACATGTGTATAATGAACAGATAACCAGTTACTTACATGTGTATAATGAACAGATAACCAGTTACTTACATGTGTATAATGAACAGATAACCAGTTACTTACATGTGTATAATGAACAGATAACCAGTTACTTACATGTGTATAATGAACAGATAACCAGTTACTTACATGTGTATAATGAACAGATAACCAGTTACTTACATGTGTATAATGAACAGATAACCAGTTACTTACATGTGTATAATGAACAGATAACCAGTTACTTACATGTGTATAATGAACAGATAACCAGTTACTTACATGTGTATAATGAACAGATAACCAGTTACTTACATGTGTATAATGAACAGATAACCAGTTACTTACATGTGTATAATGAACAGATAACCAGTTACTTACATGTGTATAATGAACAGATAACCAGTTACTTACATGTGTATAATGAACAGATAACCAGTTACTTACATGTGTATAATGAACAGATAACCAGTTACTTACATGTGTATAATGAACAGATAACCAGTTACTTACATGTGTATAATGAACAGATAACCAGTTACTTACATGTGTATAATGAACAGATAACCAGTTACTTACATGTGTATAATGAACAGATAACCAGTTACTTACATGTGTATAATGAACAGATAACCAGTTACTTACATGTGTATAATGAACAGATAACCAGTTACTTACATGTGTGTAATGAACAGATAACCAGTTACTTACATGTGTGTAATGAACAGATAACCAGTTACTTACATGTGTATAATTAACAGATAACCAGTTACTTACATGTGTATAATAAACAGATTACCAGTTACTTACATGTGTATAATGAACAGATAACCAGTTACTTACATGTGTATAATGAACAGATAACCAGTTACTTACATGTGTATAATAAACAGATTACCAGTTACTTACATGTGTATAATAAACAGATTACCAGTTACTTACATGTGTATAATGAACAGATAACCAGTTACTTACATGTGAACAATGAACAGATAACCAGTTTCTTACATGTGTATAATGAACAGATAAACAGTTACTTACATGTGTATAATAAACAGATAAACAGTTACTTACATGTGTATAATGAACAGATTACCAGTTACTTACATGTATAATGAACAGATTACCAGTTACTTACATGCACATGTAAACTGAAGTGATGTATTGTAGATGAACATGCATTTATTCAATTGTGTACACGAAAATATTTTGTTAGAATAAATATTTTAGATTTTGAATATTCTTCTCCAAGTAGTGGTTTTACAGGTTGATATGTAGGGTTATTATTTAGAAATTACTATTGAACATTGTATTTGTTATAAATAAAAGCATTATCCTAATTAGCGTTATTTCATTTAGTTCAATACGCATGTGTGCTCACAAAATTAATTTTGTAATATTCTAACACAAAGTTACTCACGCCATTTTGAATGATTGGTACACGTACTTCTTCAATAAGATTCATCCGTTTTGAAATACGTACAATAAAAGTTTTACTTTCTGCACAAACAATGTCAGTCTCCATCATAGCTTCACAAAGGGACCAGTCGGTCTTAACACGTCGCGGCACGTTAAATACGTATATTTTTTGTGTAGAAAATAGAACTTTGATATGGTACACGTACTAATTATGTTTCCATGAAGAGGCGACAACGCAAATATCAACAGTTTCCTCCATTTCATGACGTCTTTGAAATTACCTACAGTACCAATATGTTAACACGTTTTAATGTTGTTTTTTCTATGTAGGAGTCAGTTTGTTAAAGTCAAAGATTTTTTTTTATTATCGTGCAACTTCGAAATCCAACGATTCCGATACAAATATATATACATATACTCTGTACTTCTGGAATGTGTCATGACAGGTTCAAAGCTCCCGATAGGCTTCATAATCAGATTCAGGTATATATCTCCGAACAATCATTAGGCTGATACATGTCCTTTTAAGATTACAGAGACGCTACATCCATCTTTAGAACCAGTTGATATTACATTAATTTGCCAAGCAATTATTTTTACTATCATTTAAAGACATCAGTCACGTCTATTAGCGACATCCGCAAGGACCATTCACTATTGTCATGACATATTGTATGATTGTAGAGAAGATACGTATATTGACAGCGGAACCCTTGGATTCCAAATATGGCTTTCATGCAAAGCTTTAAATTACCGTTAACGTTGTAGACGCTGACCAGGCTACTAGGAACGTTTGACAAGGTGGGGCACGCAGTTAGGGGAATCATGGTTCATTTTAAATGGAAACGGATTGGAATTATTTCCCAGAAGCACACTGACCGAATATGGAAGTACACACGCGAAGCTGTAGAAGAGGTGGTGACCGGGGCGGGCATGCTGGTAGCTGTAAGTAAGGAGTATAACGCTGCCACAAACGACAGCCTCAAGGCCATTCTGGCGGAGGTAGCCTCGCTTTCAAGAAGTAAGTGCGCGATATCTTCAATAATTGGATTCATCTATTATATCCTTTATTATTCTGACATAGTTTCTCACGATACCGAGTAATGTATGTTTCAAAAAGAATTAAATATAAATACTATATGAAGTGACTCTTACATGCTTCCGTACTTATCCGTGCTTTTGTTATTGTATGATAAAATAAAACACAATACCGTTCCTCATTTTCCAGTTATTGTTCTTGCTGTACGGGGTGAGACATTGAGGACGCTAATGGTCTTAGCTCACGAGATGGCGCTTACATCGGGAGACTACATGTTTATCAGCGTTTACTATTATGCCTCCGCGAAAACGTTTGGCGACATCTCCTGGCTACAGGTGAATAATTTAATCTTGCTTGTAACAAGCATTTTCATTGGCTTAAAAAAATATGTTATCAGCCCATAACGTAAAAAAAATTACGTCGCCGTTTGTAACGTCGCTTTTGATTTGCTGATACAGCAACGCAATAATTTCTAAGAGAAAAGAGTCAATAAAAGTGGATTTCAATAGGGATTGTGTAAAGTAGATTAAATTATTAGGATTAACTTGAATATATTTTTCATGTTTTCACGGTTTATTTAGAGTACACTCCGGGTTTTGTGTGCGTTATATCTCCATAACATGAAAAATATATTCAAGTTAATCCTTAATTAAATTGCATAATAGCATGGAACTGTCATAATCTGTATTCAAAATGATTCGTTTCCACATATTGAAAGTGGATATTTTAGCGGTTTTCACATAATATTATCGAAATCGTTTAATCATTACAACTTCTTAATTATATCAACATCATAATCTCACATGATGTAAAGGGCTGTAAATTATATGACTCTTTTTCTTTGAAAACTGTTGATGAAGTAAACGTATCAAACATACTTATAGAAGTATATCTACAGTACCCAAGCATATCAAGTATATAGTAACAGCGCTTGTGCAGAGCATAGGAAAACAGTTGCATGTAAATAGCTAATGATGACATGTTTGCATCTGTTCATGAATATTGAAGGAAAATTTTAATTATTACTGAAGCTAAACGTATATGTGGACACGCGTTTAATCTATGTGTACCATTTTACCCTTATTTTGCACGATTGAGGCACAGATTTTGGATTTTGTTGGAGTGGTTATGTTAACGAGGTCGTTCTGTTGTTACTTTTTATGGAAGGCAAACTATGTCTGGACGAAGTCCCGCTACGCTTAAAAGGGTTTGGTGTTTGAGTTAAGTTTGCGAGGGCGAACATCTCTTTATTATAAGTTATAAGTAAGAAGGTTGTATCGATGACAGAATTCCTGTTTTAAATTCAGAACGACGAATATGATGACGTTGCGATGACAGCTTACACCTCCCTGATTTTTGTTTCTTACTTCACGCCACTGACACATCTATACCGGAAGTTCGAAGACGACGTTAAAAGAAAGTCCGAGACGCTGTTTAACTATACGTACCAAGCTGATGAAGGCGTAAGCGTGTTTAGTGTTTAGTATATGCTAAACTTACATCATGCTGACTCGAGATGCACCCCCCCCCCCCCCCCAAAAAAAAAAAAGTTGTTTCAGGGATTTGTGTTTGATTATGTTTTGAAAAGTATTTCAGTCATAAAGTATCAGAAATATCGTTATTAATTCCTATATTTAACTTACAAATAAAGCTTAAACCATGAGCGTTAGTTAGCAACTTTCTTCACTTTTCCAGTGGATTTTAAATGACTAGGATGGCAGTACTTAAGGAATGATTTTTATTTTTTCAACATTTATTTAAGGAATGATTTTTATTTTTTCAACATTTATGAGGTCATAACAACAATGGGTTTATGGACATATTGAATGAATCGCGTTAGCGATTCATGTAAAATATGTCCAAAAACCCATTGTTGTTATGACCTCATAAATGTTGAAAAAATAAATATCATTCCTTATATTTACATTGACGAATCCTTTCAGTGGATCGATATAACAACGAATAAAACAAATAAACAGGGTTTGTTCCTGCTTATACACGGGTGCAACGCAGTGGCGAGAACAGTGTTTTTTCGCGGGGAAATGTGACACTATCGTGAGAGATCTTAGCAACCGTCAACAACAATAACACAACAAAATGTAGTTCCATATTCAATGTTTATTTGTAGCACAGGACACGTGAATACGTGGATATTTCACAAAGCACAGTTCAATAATATTTTAAGATGTAAGAATTAAGCATCTAGGTCGGTCGTTCCGAGTGAGTAGTTTTTGTAGTGTATTACTACGCAGTGTGATCAGGTTACTATCAGTTCCCACGTGCTGAGATTCTATGAACACCTGTGTTATGCATTTATGAATGTAATTTTTGTCAATGGGTCTAAGCATACAGAATGTAAATATTTTCATATGAAAACATCTAAACAATATTTTCAAAGAAAACATAATAATTACAATAAGTTTATATAATAATACTTTTTTTTGGTGAATGACCCTAGCGACTAAACAACGACTGGGTTGAGTACATCTTGACTAAATGAGATGAACAGATCACATGGGCTTTGTGAACAATGTTTACTTGCCGAAATATTAACAATTGAAGTTCCAATTCAATCCGCCTTGCAACTTCCAGTCGCCTTTTGTAAACAGGGACTAATCTCGAGCTGATGCGCGTTTGAAAGAGTTTGAAGTATTGCAAAGCTTCTAAACGATCATGCCCAGAAGATGATGTTTTTGATAAATTTACTTTCAATTATTTACTATATTTCTATTTTGTATCACCTTCATTAATTCATAAAAGAACAAATTGATTTCTTCCCTTTCAAACTTTTTTCTTTCAAATGTTAAAAAACATATTTTTTGAAAAAATGTTCTATTGTCAAGATTATGATCAAACGTCGTCTGCTTCGCAAACATTCAAGAAAATAATATTTACAATGTATTGATATTATTTTTATTAATTCGTTTTTTCTTTAAACTATCTTTAATTAATAAATATCAAGATTTTATGAATTGAAAAATTGCATTTTATGACGTAGCCGGAAGCGCACTTGGTACGAGAACGTGACCCGGAAATACCTCACAACATTATCAGGACAGTAATAATAATAATAATAATAATAATATACAACATTTGATATAGCGCCCCATCTAGCTAACATAAGCCACTCTAAAGCGCTTTACAGTACATAGATTTACAATTTTATACAGTCAATACAATTAGCATATATCTATATTAATCTATACAATATTGAGGAATACTAGTCCTATGCCACCTGGCTAATATCTCCATATGTGTGTATGTCTGTGTGTGTGCTGGAGATGAATTGTGTTCTGTTTGTAGTGGGACCGTGCTTCCAAAGGTATCATTTATAGTGCCACCTCACTTGAATGCTACAGCACAGATACCGCAACACCCACCCCAGACCATTTTAGACTCCACCTGGGTTATTGGAGTTGGGTGGGCAGGAGAAAAACACTTTCTCTAATATGCCATGCATACGGCGACTTCGGGGATCGAACCCCGGCCGCCTGCTTGGAAGGCCGGAGTGTTAACCACTCGACCAATCCGCCCATAACCAGAAGGAGCAACCAAAAGTACTGGTTCTAGAAGCTTTTTGCTCTGCTGCTGGCACAAGTAGTTCCGTTAAAATCCAGAGTTGACCTTTGTTTAATTATATGACTGTTGCAATATATCTTTGTGCGTACTATGTCTTACAGACCAGTAGCAGTGCACGGTGACGGGTGTCACAATTGCCTTTAGGTCAACTTAGGATTTTGCCATGGGTCATATGTCAGTATACACTTCTTCATATGATTATGTTAATGGTTACAGCATGAAACTTACAGTGTACCTTGAACGAAAATAGAAATAAATATATTATTATCATATATTATCTAAAAACAAAAAATCGGCAAGCCCAATGTCGAGCTGGAAAGCGAGTATGCAACACGGAATTAGATCTAGATCTAAGTCCGTGGTTTGCAATCATTTTCTCTATAGTGACAACTTATTTCATCATGTCGTTATTGAACAGCACCATTTAGTGACCAGTTCTGTGACGGATTATCTATATTGCAAACTTAATTTATACTGTGGTCCCGCTTCGGTCCAAAAATACCGAAATGTATCAATGAACAATATTTGCAAAATTACTTCAACGTTGGTGTCTGCTATGTTTTTGAATGTCAATAAAATGTATGGCATATTTTATATGTTACCGTATAATCACAAATTGACGACATTGAGTCTTCCTTGTCTTGTGTCAAATTCAAATAAACAGCAAAATACCGAGAAACAGTTACGCATTTAATTTTATACAATATTTATGTATGCGATGCTAAATTAGATTTGTCTCGAAATTTTAATATATGAGATTCAAAATGAAAAACAATACTCCAGATATTAATATGTATACACAACTTATAATTGAACATCTTGGTTCAATAATGAAAATCATCTCGATCCACTCCCTTCGCCTAATTAATTTGGGTACAGATAATAACACTAAACACACCTGTGTCCAGTGCTGACAGCAGGGGGCCCTTTATACCTGTGTCCAGGTATGCCACCAAAGGGATGTCGGCAGGTGGGCACGGGGGTGACCCTAGCCTACTCTATTGTTTTGTTTTGTTCTATATTTTGAAAGTCCGTCTTATCATCTTAATAAATTAATCTTATCTAACCTAACCGTATCCACTGTGGTGGCGTAATCACGCCTACTCTTATCGAAAATACCATTATTCCATTATACGTCCCTGACAATACACAGAGAATTATTTGTGAATGTTGATGAATTTTAACGGAAAGTTAAATGTTACCCAGAATCATATTGCTAACCAGGGAAGAAAAGCTTTCAGTGCAATTAATAGTAAATTGATTTTTTTTAAATATTAATACAAAATGTTTTCAGTGAATTTGATATATATGTCAACAGCATACTCGAGTATGGAAGCGAGATATGTGGCTTTCATAAAGCACCAGAGATAGAAAAGCTGCATTCTGGTTTTGTAAACGATTGCTTGGTGTCCAAAAAAGTACAGGTACTGATTTTGTATATTACGAGCTTGGTAGACAGTCACGATACAATAGAAAGTTAAAAGTTATAAAATACTGGTTAAAATTAAAAGAATCCAAAAATTGTATATTGGCCATGTTGAGAAGAGCGATTAATAATGAATGATGATTGGATCAACAATATTAAACAAGAACTAGATAAACTTAATTCCGTGGTTTATCTTACTTTTGGACTAGTGATACTATAAATAATATGTATAAAGTAGTAGAACAACGATTTATAGATTGTTACACCCAGGAAATGAGAGCAAGAACTATAAATGCTGCCCTAGGTGACCTATAACATCTAATTGATAATTTTTGCATGCAATATTATTTACTGAAACCTATTGATAATATATATAAAAAAATCTATAGCCAGTATTAGATTGTCATCACACCAGTTAAAAATCGAAAATGGCCGCTATCACAACATTGATAGGAGACGCAGAATATTTGAAAGTTGCCAAAGTTATGAAATTGAAGGTGAGTTTCATTTTATACTGCAATGTCCATTTTATATAGAAATTAGACAAAGGTATATTAAAAGGTATTAATATAAATCACAGTAGCGTTTTCAAACTTGTGCAACTGTTAAGTATAAATAATGCTAAGGAACTAAATAATCTTGCAAAATATACTCATTTTGCCTCTAAGAAAAGAAAAACACACTTTGGCTAAAAGTGAATATTATCGTTATATACCGCATATGTATTTCAGGTATATTTCGAATTCAAAGAAAATCATGTCATCGCTGAAAACGAATTATTACTTTTACTTCTGACTGTATAATATACGTATTATTGCTGATGTTGTACAACATATATTTATGATTAAACTTAAGCAATAAGTGGTACATGAGTGGTAGATTGACTCAGCACTAATGTTATACCATTCAAGGTAACATTGGCGCATCTCTCTCAGTATGTGTTTGTAAAGTTAAATTTAACTTAAGTTAATTTTTGTTGTACTATTATGTTTATGATGTATTTTATACATACATGTTTATGTTACTCTCTGTGTTCGGTATGCTTGTCATGCGAGATCACTCTCCAAATATGAATGCAATAGGTATGTTTTGTAACCATGTTTACCTTAGCATTCTGCCGTTAAGAAAAGAAAAACCTACTTTGGCTAAAAGCGAATATTATCGTTAAACACCTTTCATATGTATTTCATGTACCATTTCGAATGCAAAGAAAAGTATGCCTTTACTGAAAAGTAAGTATTAATTATATTTCTGTGTGTATATATATGTGTGTGTGTGTGTGTGTATGTGTGTGTGTGCGTGTGTGTCTGTGTGTGTGTGTGTGTGTGTCTGTCTGTATAATTATTATTCTCTTTATTTCCTCCTTAAAGAAGATTTTACAAACAGAATAGTGTTATTACAATGATATATAAGATAATAGATGCAAAATCAAATAGATGGTAAGGCAAAATTAGTGCACAACATGATTAGTTAACACAATAGAAATAAGTTAATCAATTTGAGTACAGTTTACAAAAGAATACATAATTAATAATGTTAAGAATGATATACACAAAAGTATTGAACAATCATTCGTAGTATGCATTAAGCATTTTTGAAATATGATTGACTGGTGCCATACGAAATTCTGTGAACTCTAATGCATTCAGTTCATACGTTATGTTGCCACCAATCAGTAGGTGAAATAATTCATAGTCTGAATGAGGGTGTAAATATACGCTAAACATAAGTTCACATGTATTAATGACTTGACACCATAACTGATCTCGTAAGTCTTCTGTACAATCACATTGTGAAACTATGTGCGTATATATATCGTTATACATTTGTCCACATTTATGACATAGTTCAGTTTTTTCTGAATGTCTTAGAGATACAATCAATTTCATTATACTATGTATGGCTTCTCTGTTTTGAGGAAATTTTATTAACAATTTCCACAATCTATGAGGAGCCAAATTATCATGAACAAATATAAATCAGCAGAAATCGCGGTCACCAATATTCCATTTGATAAACATTCTTGTAATAATAATAATAATAATTATAATAATTCGAGGTTCTTATATACCGCTTTATCACAACCTAGTTCGTAGGTCGTCTCAAAGCGATTCACAACTTATTATTCGTGGTTATATGGCCTTTGCAACCAGCCAATATCTTTCTCAACTCCATCGGGAGCATACAGCCGGAGCTGCCAAATACGGCGCTAACAGCTAGCATTCTACAACTCTAGCGCTGTCCAACCACGTACTCATTTACTGCTGAGTAGACTGGAACAAGCGGAGTAAAGTATCTTGCTGAAAGATACAACACAGTGTCGTGCCGTGACTCGAATCCGCAACCCTTCCGTCACGAGCCCGGCGTCCTACCACTAAACTACCGTGCCTACTAATGAATTCGATTAATTGCTAGCGTATTGCAATTAATAAAAAAAATGTTCAATAATCAGTATTTAGAAATTGTTACATTTTAAATACAAGTTCGAACTTTTTTGGTTTATTTTCATGTTTTGAATATCGACATTGTGATAGGAGATATTTTTACTTATAGATACCCTACCCAGCAGCAAACCTGTATGAAGCAATGTATCTTTATGCACTGGCAATGAACACGACATTAGACCATGGAGGCAACATCTCTGATGGACAGACTCTAACGGATGCACTGTGGAACAAAACTTTTTCAAGTAAGACATTACTGATATATTTACATGTTTGGTTCATACATGAATCGTTAATTCTTTATTATGAAGGACATTCTAAAGTGTAATATAACAAGGCTGACGTCATCCCATTGTTAACCTGTGTTATACACAGGTAATCACCGATATTCTATTGACAGGAATGCAAACATAACTCCTATAATGTACCAAAGAGATGCATATAGACCATATTGTTATCGTGATGATTTGTAATGTTTGACCTTTGATGTTGGGGTTTCGTTGTCGTATGGAGGCTTTCTGCTATAATTGACAATGTTATTCCGTTATAATTGAGTGACGTTGTAACTGCGGTATACCTGTGTTTAAATCAGAGATGCTGAGAGTAAAGGTCCAAGCATCATCGCTGTAATCTACTAGTGTCAATTACTGTTATCTATTATATACGTATACTTGTATATTTAGCAAACATTGTTATACGATATCGTATATTTAAACAGGTGCGATGTACATCGGTTCTGTGTTTTTCACAGCTGTTACAGGTGACGTCTCATTAAACGCTAATGGCGACCGGCAGCAGAGCTACAAAGTCGAACAAATCGTTAGCGGGACTAATTTCAGTCTAAAGGTTCGCATTACCTATTGTAAAGGCTTCATTAGGACATACGATGTGTTACCCATGCACACGTAGTCAGGTAACTCCAATGTGTGCCTGTTTAACCTTAATCACTTGCGAATTGAACTGCTCCTGTTTGAGCGATATCATTTCATACACTGAACCTGGTAAAATATTATTCCTTTGTACGCCTGCTATCATTTTTATATCTGACCAAATGAAAAATTCATGTTCTACCGATTTCAATTCATGCCTGGTCAATTAAGATCCCTCTGTATATCTGGTATCATTTTTAACTTCGTCAGATAAAAAACCTTTGAATGCCAAATTAGAAATACTACTGAATTAATCTAGAAGTAAGTTCCTAGTCAGCTTAAGAAGTGTGAGTCTTTTTCAGAATTGATGTAGCTTTAAAAAATAATAATGTGATGTTTTCATTTTCTGGCCTCATGGAAATAAAATTCATAGCTATTGTGTATGTTCAGAATTCAATATTTCTGAAGATATGCCTTGTTTAAAAGCGAATTTGGGTGGGAACAACTTCTCTATGAGAAACATTTATAATATCATCTACCGCCAGATTTGGTTTAGGTTTACTTCAGAATCTTTCGGACATTTCTAAAATGATTCCGAAACCTTGTTATTCCGTCTTTGCGTATTGCAGAGTTATCTTATCTTGGGAGTAGGTATTGATTGTTACGTCACTTGTTTGAGAGAGTAACGTCATCAACTTTTGAGAAAAGACGTAATTTTCTCGCACAAACCAATGACGTAACAATCAATACCTACTCCCAAGAGAAGATAACTCTGCAATACGCAAAGACGGAATAACGTCTATAAACTATGAAAAAAACTCATGATTTGTTAAGGGTCTCAATCCAGGGACATTTTTTAAAACTGGTTTTTACTTTTGAATCCTGTTTATATAATAGCATCACCATCTAATTGTATAAAACAACAAAATTACTAACTTGGTATGCAGGTGAATATACAAGACTCATTTATGACATAAGGTAATATGCAGGAGAAACTGATAAGTCAGAACGATGCTGACGATCGAAACTGAGAAAAGGAAACAAAACAAGTTATGCTAATAAATCAAAAGGGTAAGTGTTCATCATTTTAAGATCGAACGCGGCCGTCGTCACGGCGAATCAATCAAGCCATGCGTATGTAATCTTTGTTTTGGTAGTTAAGCAAGAGCAAGATGAATCAAATTAGAAATGGAAAAAGTTATTACTGTCGATAATATCTATTTTTTCTTTTGCAAAATATGTGGATGATACTTCCTATATCTTAGCTGTAATATGTCGCTCTTTCATGTCTGACGGTTAAACTTGAAAAAAATCACATTCTACACATAAAGAGATAGTAATTTGATCAGAGTTGAATTTAAATACGGGATGGTTGACCAATATAATCTTCTTGGATTATATTGCATGTAGATCTATCTATAGAAAATAAGAAATATTAATTATGATTAGTTAATCTCAAGCCGTTTATCGAAATTTGGAAGTCGTTGATTTCTTACTGTTATGAAAAGGATTAGGTTAGGATCAATATATGTGTTTCCTGATTTCGCGGTTCTACAATTTCTTCTAAGAATAACATAACAAAGTACTGATGAATATGTTATAAAAAAAAATCTCTGTCAACATTTTTTATGGAATGGTAAAGCTGATCAAATTAAGAGAGAATGTATTGCGCAAGCTATTTAGTAGGATGTCTCCATACATAATATGTTTCATATCGAAGCTCTTACATAAGATTGATCACAACAAATACATAAAACAATGTATAGGTGGATAACTTTAGTTCCATTTTCTCTTTATAACAATGTATTACTATTTATGATACTTATAACTAATTTATAGGTGAACTAAAAATAGTGTGGTAGTTTACTTTGGAAAATAAGGCAAATAGAAATTTTAAGTACCAGACACAATCACTTATACCACTGCAAAATGATATGTAACAATATTTTTGTCATATCTTTATTTTTCATACAAACCAAAACAAATAATTTCATAATTTTACATTAGACAGATTAACATAATTTTCCAACTGTTTTTTTCTGAACCTTTGTGTATGTATTGTATGACTTGGAACATCTTGGCAAAAAACATCTCGTATTTGACTCTTATTAGCAAATTGGTCAGTACCGGTCTGAGGTTGGTTACTATGAGGAAGAAAGTAGTGTGTCTCCTATTTGGCCAGGACAAAGACTGGACGCACCTGCGGACAGCCCGGCGTGTGGTTACAGTGGCGAGTTCTGTAAAGGTAAACCTCCTACTGATGACTTCACACTTTACCTCTGGACGCTCGTTTTTGTTTTGTTCTCTTTTTATTGTAACGTTAGCAGTTCATTCACTACACATATACACATAATCTTACCATGTCTATGATTTAACCGAAATGCTTTTTAGTTTGCTGTTTACATAGTATATATTGAAATATATGTAAATGATATATATAAATATAATGGGTCGAGAATGACAGAAACATCTACCTTCAGAAGATTCAACATTTCAAAAACATCAAACGTACATCTCTTAGACATACACAAATGAAAAAATTCCACCGCGATGGGCTTCACGATCTCCCGGAAACTAACATCAACTCACGTCGCACAGTTAAAAAAACAAGAGGGAGAAGGTTCCGACGTAAACACCAAACAGTCAAGACCACTACGAGTAATACAGTCGTCAACCTATCAAACCATCCCCTTACAGAACCAGAGCATGCTCTTCTTACTAAGGTTCTTAATTTTTGTCCGATCCCCAAAAGCCCAAACAAAGCTGATCGAAGACATGGACAGATTGTGTACTTTGCTAAAGACCCTGACCCAGATGATGTAGAGGATACTCCGCCAGAAGAGTCTCCCGTCGCACCCCTGATCAATCCATTCAAACATAAAAGTAAATGGAACCCTCCTCCCAGCAGAGTACCTGCTCTCGAAGCGTTCGTCAGTGCAGTAAAGGAGGAACTAACCGTCCACTTAAACAACACGCAGACAACCAAGGACAATCTGTCACCTTTGGAACGCCAGGCACTCAAATTCCTAAAAAAAAATTCGGACATTGTCATCAAGCCAGCGGACAAAGGCTGTGCCGTTGTTATAATGAACAGGGACGACTTCATCCAAGAGGCTAATCGGCAACTCTCCAACGATACATTTTATCGTAAGGTCGATAGTGACCTGACGCACGTACACGCACTGCAGATTAATAATACCATCAATAGAATTTTAGAGAAGGGTGATATTGACCCCGATACCGCGAAATTCCTGCGCCCCGAAAACCCTTAAGCAGGAAAGTTTTATCTTCTTCCTAAAATTCACAAACCTGGGAACCCTGGTAGACTCATCATTAACTCGATCAACCACCCGACGGAAAAAATTTCCCAGTTTGTTGACTTCCACCTCCGACCATTCGTAGAACATTTACCATCTTTTTTAAAAGACACCACAGACTATCTAAACAAAACCCCTGCTAAGAACTTACCAGAAGGTACCTTGTTAGTTACGATGGACGTCGTTTCCCTCTACCCTAACATACCGCATGACGGCTGCATTGCAGCCTGTCGCGAGGCATGGGAACGGCGCAGTACCAAACACCCATCGACTGATAGCCCGGTTGATTTACTGAGACTTGTCCTCACACTTAACAACTCTACATGCAATGAGGATAACTACATACAAGTTAGTGGTACAGCCAAGGGTACTAAGATGGCCTCCTCATATGCCAATGTTTTTATGGTACATCTTTAAGCCCAACTTTTAACATCTGCTCCAATTAAGCCATTTAGCTGGTTGAGATTTATCGATGACGTTGAAATCAAATTGGACATCGGGTCGGGACATCCTTGACGAGTTTATTGAGGTCGCTAACGCGTTCCACGCCACCATCAAATTCACAGCGAATATCTCAACGGAGAGCAACACATTTTTGAACACCAGTTCCACTCTGATTGATGGTAAGATTAGTACGGACCTCCACTGTAAACCTACTGACACACACCAGTATCTCATCCCATCCAGTTGTCACCCCTCGCACACCACGAGAAGCATACCCTACTCCCAAGCTCTGCGCATCAGGCGTATTATTTCGGATGACATCATCTTTGAACGCAGATGTTCAGAGTTAAAGTCCCGTCTTCTTGGCAGAGGATACAAATCTACTTTGATAGATCGGGAAATAGACAAAGTGAGGGTACTGGACACGGCAAGTCTGCTTGTGTACAAAGTCAGACCCCATACACAAAGGGTACCTTGTGTAGTCATGTTCCACCTAGACATGCCGCCACTTCTATCTATCTTGATAAAGCACTGGCGCATCATCGAATCTTCAGCGAAACTTAGGCAGATCTTTCCAGAGTCTCCTATACTGGCATATCGTAGACCTAAACACATTAGAGATCTTGTGGTAAGCAGCAAGCTACCTACACCTAACACTGCTGCGGCGAAAGGCTCTTTCAATACCTGTAACAAGAAGGAGTGCAAATTGTGTCCATACACGCGCTCCACAGATACATTTCAATGTACAATCAACGGCAAAGTGTATCACATACTACAAACGCTGACATGCACATCAGTCAATGTGGTGTACCTTATTACCTGCAATAAATGCAAGTTACAGTACGTGGGCGAGACCTGCACCCAGCTCAATGTCAGGATCAACAACCACCGCTGCTCCATCAAGCAGAAGAAACCAGACTTCCCTGTGGCAAGGCATTTTAATATGCCTAGCTATAGTTGGAAAGACATGCAGGTTGTTGCCATAGATCATTGCCCTACATGGCATGAAACGAGTCGACGTACGAGGGAACGGTTTTGGATCACCAATCTACAAACCCGCTACCCTCGAGGTATGAACGAACGATAGGCGGTTGCCATCCGCTCGTTTTCCTTCCAGGGGTCATTTGACCTAATGATTCATTACTGCACAGTTGGTCTGCTATCTCGCCTGCCTGCTGCTTCATGTCAGTGTGTGTGACCAACAGTCGATGTCAGATTTATTTTGCAGATTTATACAGTATCTTAGCCATTTCATCTACTTATTCCTCCTGCACTCACTTATTTGATAATTACATGCACATGCATTATTCCTGCAAACCAAAAGAGGCGACTAAGTGGGACCCCCTGCTGTGACTTAGATCCATCGCAGTATTGAGAGGCGACTAATGAGACATTCCTTAGCAGATTGGAGATTTTTCACATTTACCGGGCCAGATTTCCAAATGCACATGTTCCACGTTTTTGATATCTCTCGTTGACTCACTTTATATGTCAGTGCATCTTGCGCAAGAATAGGTCCTTTACATCAGCGTTCCTTGTCCGCGATGCTCTCAGCTTAATTGCTGCCTTCGGCTGTCTTTAGCCGAGGGGACTATTGGTTTTATATAGAAGCTATATTTTCAATTATAGTATATCAGTTTTATCTTCTTGTAATATGATGTATATGTACATGTAACTGTTCTGTTTCACTGTGTCTTGAAAAAGGAGCTGATCGCTCCGAAAATTTGACAACCTAAACTTGTCCACAGTGTTGGAATTACTTCTTTGCCCCATATATATATAATGTATATAAATGTAATATATAATAAACATGATTTATATAAATGTAATATCTATTCATCATTTATATCAAACATCATGTCATCAAAACATCGACAATTCAGAATAATAACTATTGGATTAGTAAATACTGTACGAACGTTCTGTATTAATTGTGCGCTAAAACTGTGAACTTTCCATGGATTCTTTTGGGAGAAACAAATAAGTTTTGTTATCTTTAAAGCGATGCCAGCATGAAAAAATGCCGTATTTTTATTCTTTTGTTTTGATTCATCATTTCTTCGTAGGTGTGACGGAAGCGGACATAATCCGTATTTTAATTTTTTCATTTGTCTGCGTTGTTTTGGTGGTTCTGCTTAGCTTCCTCATTCAGCAACTCTATGTGGGGTAAGTAGTTCGCCTCTTATTTAACCTTATACACCATTTGTACAGCGTGCAATCTAGTCTTAGGGTAATTGATAAGAAATAGGAAACACAAATCAGCGTCCTACGTCACATCACATGTTTGTCAGATTAAACACAATGTCGGACTTCTTCTTATGTGATAACAACTGTCAATTTAGAATGAAATGTTAACATTTATTTGTCGAAATAAAATGTAATTCAGTTTATTCAAGGGTCGAAGTAGAAAGTTGCATTGCATTAGTGTTACTTTGTGTAAAAAGTAAATAGAAAGATAAGTATTCAGGTGATATAAAGTACCCTATGGATTGACTGTAAAACTTTTCGGTATCGATATTTTGATTTTTGTGTGCATACATCATATAGATACTTATATACATATATATTGTTTAATAAAATAAGGTTACTAAAAGAACAACCTGCTTATGTCAAGTTTCCATATAAGATACAATATTAGGTTATGATGCTTTATTTGAAGATTTAACATCACTAAAGGGTGTTCTTATGGAGTTAAATGTTGAATCAGGATATGCAAACTGTAATGTACACTGCTTTTTAAGAAGTTGTTATTACTATGGCATACGTTTTGATAAGAATTATACTCAGTATAAAATGATCAATCAATTACAAAAATTATTTTAGAAAAATGAGGAATAAATTGAAGGAACAATTTTGGAGGATCCATAAAGAAGATATAACGTTCAATGCCACATCACACTTCACGTTCTCCACGGTACGTATATCTGTATAGGAGTTATCGGCGGTACGTAAAGCTGTATAGGAGTTATCGGCGGTACGTACAGCTGTATAGGAGTTATTGGTGGTACGTACAGCTGTATAGGAGTTATTGGTGGTAAGTAAAGCTGTATAGGAGTTATTGGTGGAACGTAAAGCTGTATAGGAGTTATCGGTGGTAAGTAAAGCTGTATAGGTTTATTGGTGGTACGTAAAGCTGTATAGGAGTTATTTGTGGTGTGTAAAGCTGTATAGGAGTTATTGGTGGTACGTACAGCTGTATAGGAGTTATTGGTGGTAAGTAAAGCTGTATAGGTTTATTGGTGGTGAGTAAAGCTTATAGGAGTTATTGGTGGTAAGTGAAGCTGTATAGGAGTTATTGGTTGTAAGTAAAGCTGTATAGGTTTATTGGTGGTGTGTAAAGCTGTATAGGAGTTTTTGGTGGTACGTAAAGCTGTGTAGGAGTTATTGGTGGTACGTAAAGCTGTATAGGTTTATTGGTGGGGAGTAAAGCTTATAGGAGTTATTGGTGGTAAGTAAAGCTGTATAGGTTTATTGGTGGTGTGTAAAGCTGTATAGGAGTTATTGGTGGTACGCAAAGCTGTATAGGAGTTACTGGTGGTAAGTAAAGCTGTATAGGAGTTATTGGTGGTACGTAAAGCTGTATAGGAGTTATTGGTGGTAAGTAAAGCTGTATAGGAGTTATTGGTGGTACGTAAAGCTGTATAGGAGTTATTGGTGGTACGTAAAGCTGTATAGGAGTTATTGGTGGTACGTAAAGCTGTATAGGAGTTATTGGTGGTACGTAAAGCTGTATAGGAGTTATTGGTGGTACGTAAAGCTGTATAGGAGTTATTGGTGGTACGTAAAGCTGTATAGGAGTTATTGGTGGTACGTAAAGCTGTATAGGAGTTATTGGTGGTACGTAAAGCTGTATAGGAGTTATTGGTGGTACGTAAAGCTGTATAGGAGTTATTGGTGGTACGTAAAGCTGTATAGGAGTTATTGGTGGTACGTAAAGCTGTATAGGAGTTATTGGTGGTACGTAAAGCTGTATAGGAGTTATTGGTGGTACGTAAAGCTGTATAGGAGTTATTGGTGGTACGTAAAGCTGTATAGGAGTTATTGGTGGTACGTAAAGCTGTATAGGAGTTATTGGTGGTACGTAAAGCTGTATAGGAGTTATTGGTGGTACGTAAAGCTGTATAGGAGTTATTGGTGGTACGTAAAGCTGTATAGGAGTTATTGGTGGTACGTAAAGCTGTATAGGAGTTATTGGTGGTACGTAAAGCTGTATAGGAGTTATTGGTGGTACGTAAAGCTGTATAGGAGTTATTGGTGGTACGTAAAGCTGTATAGGAGTTATTGGTGGTACGTAAAGCTGTATAGGAGTTATTGGTGGTACGTAAAGCTGTATAGGAGTTATTGGTGGTACGTAAAGCTGTATAGGAGTTATTGGTGGTACGTAAAGCTGTATAGGAGTTATTGGTGGTACGTAAAGCTGTATAGGAGTTATTGGTGGTACGTAAAGCTGTATAGGAGTTATTGGTGGTACGTAAAGCTGTATAGGAGTTATTGGTGGTACGTAAAGCTGTATAGGAGTTATTGGTGGTACGTAAAGCTGTATAGGAGTTATTGGTGGTACGTAAAGCTGTATAGGAGTTATTGGTGGTACGTAAAGCTGTATAGGAGTTATTGGTGGTACGTAAAGCTGTATAGGAGTTATTGGTGGTACGTAAAGCTGTATAGGAGTTATTGGTGGTACGTAAAGCTGTATAGGAGTTATTGGTGGTACGTAAAGCTGTATAGGAGTTATTGGTGGTACGTAAAGCTGTATAGGAGTTATTGGTGGTACGTAAAGCTGTATAGGAGTTATTGGTGGTACGTAAAGCTGTATAGGAGTTATTGGTGGTACGTAAAGCTGTATAGGAGTTATTGGTGGTACGTAAAGCTGTATAGGAGTTATTGGTGGTACGTAAAGCTGTATAGGAGTTATTGGTGGTACGTAAAGCTGTATAGGAGTTATTGGTGGTACGTAAAGCTGTATAGGAGTTATTGGTGGTACGTAAAGCTGTATAGGAGTTATTGGTGGTACGTAAAGCTGTATAGGAGTTATTGGTGGTACGTAAAGCTGTATAGGAGTTATTGGTGGTACGTAAAGCTGTATAGGAGTTATTGGTGGTACGTAAAGCTGTATAGGAGTTATTGGTGGTACGTAAAGCTGTATAGGAGTTATTGGTGGTACGTAAAGCTGTATAGGAGTTATTGGTGGTACGTAAAGCTGTATAGGAGTTATTGGTGGTACGTAAAGCTGTATAGGAGTTATTGGTGGTACGTAAAGCTGTATAGGAGTTATTGGTGGTACGTAAAGCTGTATAGGAGTTATTGGTGGTACGTAAAGCTGTATAGGAGTTATTGGTGGTACGTAAAGCTGTATAGGAGTTATTGGTGGTACGTAAAGCTGTATAGGAGTTATTGGTGGTACGTAAAGCTGTATAGGAGTTATTGGTGGTACGTAAAGCTGTATAGGAGTTATTGGTGGTACGTAAAGCTGTATAGGAGTTATTGGTGGTACGTAAAGCTGTATAGGAGTTATTGGTGGTACGTAAAGCTGTATAGGAGTTATTGGTGGTACGTAAAGCTGTATAGGAGTTATTGGTGGTACGTAAAGCTGTATAGGAGTTATTGGTGGTACGTAAAGCTGTATAGGAGTTATTGGTGGTACGTAAAGCTGTATAGGAGTTATTGGTGGTACGTAAAGCTGTATAGGAGTTATTGGTGGTACGTAAAGCTGTATAGGAGTTATTGGTGGTACGTAAAGCTGTATAGGAGTTATTGGTGGTACGTAAAGCTGTATAGGAGTTATTGGTGGTACGTAAAGCTGTATAGGAGTTATTGGTGGTACGTAAAGCTGTATAGGAGTTATTGGTGGTACGTAAAGCTGTATAGGAGTTATTGGTGGTACGTAAAGCTGTATAGGAGTTATTGGTGGTAAGTAAAGCTGTATAGGTTTATTGGTGGTAAGTAAAGCTTATAGGAGTTATTGGTGGTAAATAAAGCTGTATAGGATTTATTGGTGGTAAGTAAAGCTGTATAGGTTTATTGGTGGTGAGTAAAGCTTATAGGAGTTATTGGTGGTAAGTAAAGCTGTATAGGAGTTATTGGTGGTACGTAAAGCTGTATTGGTTTATTGGTGATGAGTAAAGCTTATATGAGTTATTGGTGCTAAGTAAAACTGTATAGGTTTATTGGTGGTGTGTAAAGCTGTATAGGAGTTATTGGTGGTACGTAAAGCTGTATAGGAGTTATTGGTGGTACGTAAAGCTGTATAGTAGTTATTGGTGGTAAGTAAAGCTGTACAGGAGTTATTGGTGGTAAGTAAAGTTGTATAGGAGTTATTGGTTGTAAGTAAAGCTGTATAGGTTTATTGGTGGTGTGTAAAGCTGTATAGGATTTATTGGTGGTGAGTAAAGCTGTATAGGAGTTATTGGTGGTAAGTAAAGCTGTATAGGAGTTATTGGTGGTACGTAAAGCTATATAGGAGTTATTGGTGGTAAGTAAAGCTGTATAGGAGTTATTGGTGGTGTATAAAGCTGTATAGGAGTTATTGATGGTGTGTAAAGCTGTATAGGAGTTATTGGTGGTACGTAAGGCTATATAGGAGTTATTGGTGGTACGTAAAGCTGTATAGGTTTATTGGTGGAAGGAGTTATTGGTGGTACGTAAAGCTGTATAGGGTTATTGGTGGTACGTAAAGCTGTATAGGAGGTATTGGTGGTAAGTAAAGCTGTATAGGAGTTATTGGTGGTGAGTAAAGCTGTATAGGAGTTATTTTAGGTACGTAAAGCTTTAAAGGAGTTAATGGTGGTACGTAAAGCTGTATAGGTTTATTGGTGGAAATGAATTAGTTCCGAAGGAACGACAAAGGAAGCATATCATTCCGTAATAAATCGTTATATAGCAGAGGCCATTTCTTTCCGGTGCCTCCGCTAGGGGTCAAGTCTGGGACCTCTGGCTTACTAGTCTGACAATCTATCAAATGTGCTTTAGAGAAATTCTCCCAACCCGAATAGCTAGGAAGTGGCCATTTTTCTATCAGGGCGACAGTTCAAGAGAATTTCCAACAAGAGATGATTGATCATGATTGCTGATCTTTCCAGAAAGTTGAATCTCAAGAATAACGTTCGCGCGTCAGTGATACGTCAGGATTATACGAAGGAAGAATGTAACATCTTAATCAATCATCAAGATATCGATAACGTGAACCATGAATAACTTGTCACCACCCACGTTTCTCAAAATAGCGAACGCTCCAAATCGACAATACACAAAGAAGGAAGAAACGTTGATGAATGGAACAACTAAAACTAACCTAAAGAAACAGAAAACGTGCAAAATTTAGCAACGTAGCGATGTGTATGCCAATTGCAGGCAATCCTGTAGGACGGAAGCAGGTCCTTATGACAACAGTTTAATTTCAAATGTAGTTTGAAACCCTAGCTAAGAAGTTCATTGGTAAATATAACACAATAGGAAAACCTGGCTAGGTATAATATGCAGTTCATGGGTAAAAAAGTGAATTTTTCTAGGAAATCTTGATATTAAGAACAGGTTCTGAATCAGTAATTACATTTGTCACGTTTACTTCATTATAGGATGTTATAACTAAAAAAGAAAAGATTGTTTTAATTAGATTAAAGTCGTGACATTTTTAAGCGTTCAATGATGGGATAGCAATTCTCATATTGTCAATAAATGTCATGTTAATTACCTGTTTTGGGTCGGTTACCGCCGGTGAAAGGATGAGAATGACCACCTGCTCGACAATGTCGGGGTTTTCCGGATTTTTAATGGACGCGAGAAGAGAAATTATTTTCTCTGTGCACTTCCATACCAGCCACCAGGAGTGATTAATATAAGTTGGGAAACTTAAAACAAAGTCAAACAAAGAAAGAAAGCCATAGACGAGGACGTTGTGTTATCTTTTATTAGGTCACCTGAGCTTTGCTCAAGTGACATACTCTAATCGCTTTCCGTCCGTCGTCGTCCGTCGTGCGTCGTCCGTCGTGCGTAAACTTTTTTTACATTTTCAACTTCTTCTCAAGAACCAGTGGATGGATATTTTTCAAACTTGGTCAGAATCATCCTTGGTAGATGAGGCTACAAAATTTTAAAATTGAGATTCCTACCCCAACCGCTGGGGCCAGGGTGGGGACCCAAATGGAAAATTAACCAATATTTCTTCTCCAGACTCGGAGATACTACAGTCATTTTCTCTACATAAACAGAAAGATAATCAGGGGCTTTATTTAAATTGTAAATTTCAGGGCACCCGAACTATTCGTTCTCCCTTAGGGAGGGGGTTAAGTTTACTATAGTTTATATAGGGAAATAACACTTTTGGGTATATTTTGACAACTTTCTATAGGAAATTATTTTTACTCGGTGAGAATTATCCTTGGAGGAAGATAGTTTCAAATTGTAAAATTAGGATTCCTACCCTAACCCCTTGGGCCAGGGTGGGTCCCCAAAGGGAAAATTAACCAATATTTCAAAAATCTTCTTCTCCAGACTCAGAGGTACTACATTCAATTTCAGTGCATAAACAGAAAGATAATCAGGGGCTTTATTTAAATTGTAAATTTCAGGACCCCTGAACTATCCATTCTCCCTTGGGGAGGGGGTAAAGTTTACTATAGTTTATATAGGGAAATAACACTTTTGGGTATATTTTATCCATTTTCAGTGGAAAATTACTCAAACTTAGTCAGAATCATCTTTGGTGAATGAGGGTATTACATTGTAAAATTAGGATTCCTGCCCGATCCCAAAGGGCTAGGGCGGGGCCCCAAAGGGAACATTTACCAATATTTTCAAATTCTTATACTTTGATGACATGACAAGTATTGTATTTCACTTAGTTCACATGCTGATTTCCACATCACATCTAAACAATAAAATAAAGCTACCAGTACCTATGATATAACTCAGGTGACCTTAGGCCTCTTGTTATAAATACTGAAAGATGAATGATGTTGCATTTGAACATTTAACAGCTGAAAGTCCCAAATGACGACCACGGTATCAGACTAGCGGACATATTTCCAACTGCTGGTCTAGTTCACCATGTCCAGTACGTTTAATTTGCTATTTGCTGTTTTATTTATCATTTCAGCATTTATCCAACCCCTTGAATAGCAAGTATATGACAATGGAGCGATACAGGTCCCATAGCCCTAGTTTATGACTCAAAAGAATGAACAATGGCTACCCGCAACTACTTTGTAATATGTTTATTAATATGCATTACATAATAAATACATCATTATTACCTTAGGCAAGACGATCGATTTGTATGTACTATATTTATATCAGTTATCGATCGATTTTTATGTACTGTATCTAAATCAGTTATCGATCCGAGGGAACAACGACATTGCGGTCAGCAGACGAAGAGCCAAAACCGGCGAGTATAAGGTATGATTAGTTAATAACACTTGGTCATATGAGTTACAAATGGTAATTGACTTCGAACTAAACTGTTTCAATAATACATATATGTTTATATTACCTCCCATTTTCATGGGCAAATAAGAATCAGGCATCGATGTTTCTTCATGCCCTTTTGGGGTTTTTAAAAAGAAAGACTTTTCACATTACATTTTCAGGGAAAATTATATGATTGTAGTATAATTGCAAAATAGTTTGCTGCTTAAACATGACATGGTGTATTTAGTTGAGAATGGAAAAGTTAACAAACAAAAATCACTTTATTTACATTTGATACCTATGTTAGGACGCCGCCGATGAATTTAATATATTAACCTTAAAATATTGGTATGTGGTATTCCAAGTATCATTTCAGAAAAATAACTCGCTAAACCACTAATCTTAGCAGTAATTTTTAGATGAATAACTGTTCTTGATTATTTTCAATAGTCAAACTGCGTTTTCCTGACTCAAAGTATGATGAAAGGATAGCTAACATGTTGGGGGGGGGGGGGCAGTTTTTATATACATACCAATATAACAAAATGCTGAATATTTTAAATATAATGAACGAACATATTGCTAAATGTACACCTGTCATATGTTACCCTTTCTCGGTCAGCCATAAACATGGAATGGATTTTATTGAGGATTGAGATAACCCTCCACTCGAATATATGACCGGACGGTGTAACAGGCTAAAAGGACCTGTAGAAAACATCGACATACCCTACGTATGTAATGTAAAGTAGTATGTGTCCCTAGGTCATATACACGAGTAGCAGCTGTCGTGTTTTTAGCTTATCTTTTATTGTATTCCCTAAAGGGATCCACGGTGATGATTAAAACCTACGATAACGTCATACCAGATATCAGGATGGATGTAAAAGAATTCCAAAAGGTTCGTACAAAGGAAGCATCTCATCGACCCTTCTTTCTTCATTGATTATTCTTTTGCTAATTGGCTTTTTCCATATTAAAGCTTTTTATAGACGTATTTGGAGACTTCATTTATATTTGTTTATCCCTGTATGAGAAACATAGAAATATCTTTGGCCAGTTACTAGTAATGAATCGGTGTGAGAAAAAAAATCTCTGGCATGGCATTTAATCAATATTTTATCAATATTATTTTCTTTTGGAGTATTAATACTAACAACAAATGTGTTGGATTAACTTGTCGAATGTGTATATAGCATGTTATTAACACAAAGAGACGCTATAAGTAATTCCATTTCTTATCAAATACTTCTTACTTGTCTTTACATGTGTGCATAGGGGTTCCAAATGAGTGATGGTTGGTTATCTTGTTTATCTAACTCGAGTTGGTTAATTTTCAAATTTTAAAAAGACACGAGGTTTACCGAGTGGTTTTTTTAATTGAAAATTAGCTAACGAGAGTTAATGTCTCTTTGTTTAATTAACATGCGATGTACAATTTGACTAACTGATGTTTTTTTCTCTCTAAGTTACGGGAGCTGGATCACAGGAACGTGGTGAAGGTATTCGGCTTCTGTATTGACACCGCTCATCTCTATATCCTCACAGAGTTTGCATCAAAAGGAAGCTTAATGGTCAGTTGGTATCGTATATAATCTTCTCTTAACATAACTCGTCTGGAGACTTGCCAACAATTTAAACTGTTTCAAGCTATATATCTACATCTATTGTTATTCTACCTTTCGCGAAGAATGCAAACACTGATGCATTATATCGACTGTGTTGTATTTGATTTAAACAAAAACGTATTTGTTTATCATATATTCCGTTATATTTCATTTTGAATTTGTACTCACTTTCTTTTACATAAAGTAGTATACAAACAGTCAAATTTCACTAGTTACACTTTCATTCAATATTTGTTTATTTTGGGGGGAAAACCATAGATGGGGCTACGAATAAGATGTGATTTAGCAATGAACTTGCCATTGTCCGTTCAGGTTAATTCAAATATAAAAAAAGATGTTAAAAACTAACTGAGTTCGAATGTAGAAATGGATTTTAATTTGTACAAATGATTTCATTTTTCTTTTTTTTATGCAGGATATCCTTGAAAATGAAGATATTCATTTGGACTGGGATTTCAAATATTGCTTGTTATTGGACATTTTAAGGGTATCTATTTATCAACGAAACACATTTATATTTATTTATTACATAACATTTATGCATTACTTCAAGCATATTTCTAAAACCAATTCAGGTTGGAGGTATTAGAATGGCAATGAAAATTTGCCAATAATGCAATACCATCTATGATTTTATCTTAACGGCTGAAGATATAGAACAAATAAACTTTAATGTTCTATCAATTGACAGTTATCTTTATAAGGAAAACTGTTTTGATATTAAATAAATAAACTGCAACTAAACTGTTCTTATCACAAAATAAAAAGGTTACTATCATAACAGGGTGCAAAAAATAAATTAAAAAAAAAACGAAAAATATCGTTTATTACTTTTTTTTTAATATTATCAAATTTTATCTAAATATGAAGTGGTAATCATTTTCCATATTGAAACAATTCTCATGTACCAAACTATTTCGTCTTCAAAAAATACTAAAAAATGCCAAAAATGCCAAAAATGCCAAAAATGCCAAAAATACCAAATCGTGTTTTAACCGGTATAACACACCTTTGCTTGGTCGTCAAACACTGTTTCATTTTATATTTATAGGGACTAGAATATATTTTCCATGGTGGAATAAAATATCACGGGAACTTAAAGAGCTCTAACTGTGTTGTTGATGGTCGATTTGTCCTCAAGCTTGCTGATATAGGACCACGGCGTTGGATCAACTCAAAGGAAAGATGTGCTAGAGGTAATAATTATGATAGTACATGAATGTCGTTAACGTAGTTGAGTATCCTAGCAGTAGTTGAGTATCATAGAGGTACACGAGCATCCTAGAGAAAGAGTAGTATACTGGAGGTTGATGATTATCATAGAGGTAGAGGAGTATCTTAGAGGTAGAGGAGTATCTTCGAGGTAGAGGAGTATCTTACAGGTAGAGGAGTATCTTACAGGTAGAGGAGTATCTTACAGGTAGAGGAGTATCCTACAGGTAGAGGAGTATCTTACAGGTAGAGGAGTATCCTAGAGGTAGAGGAGTATCTTACAGGTAGAGGAGTATCTTACAGGTAGAGGAGTATCTTACAGGTAGAGGAGTATCTTACAGGTAGAGGAGTATCTTACAGGTAGAGGAGTATCTTACAGGTAGAGGAGTATCTTACAGGTAGAGGAGTATCTTACAGGTAGAGGAGTATCTTACAGGTAGAGGAGTATCTTACAGGTAGAGGAGTATCTTACAGGTAGAGGAGTATCTTACAGGTAGAGGAGTATCTTACAGGTAGAGGAGTATCTTACAGGTAGAGGAGTATCTTACAGGTAGAGGAGTATCTTACAGGTAGAGGAGTATCTTACAGGTAGAGGAGTATCTTACAGGTAGAGGAGTATCTTACAGGTAGAGGAGTATCTTACAGGTAGAGGAGTATCTTACAGGTAGAGGAGTATCTTACAGGTAGAGGAGTATCCTAGCAGTAGTTGAGTGTCATAGAGGTACACGAGCATCCTAGAGAAAGAGTAGTATACTGGAGGTTGATGAATATCATAGAGGTAGAGGAGTATCCTAATGGAAGAAGCGTATCCTAGAGGTAGATGAGTATCCTAGAGGGAGAGGAGTATCTTAGAGGTAGAGGAGTATCTTAGAGGTTGATGAGTATCCTAGCAGTAGTTGAGTATCATAGAGGTACACGAGCATCCTAGAGAAAGAGTAGTATACTGGAGGTTGATGATTATCATAGAGGTAGAGGAGTATCTTAGAGGTAGAGGAGTATCTTAGAGGTTGATGAGTATCCTAGTGGAAGAAGCGTATCCTAGAGGTAGATGAGGAAATTAGAGGGAGAGGAGTATCTTCGAGGTAGAGGAGCATCTTAGAGGTTGATGAGTATCCTAGTGGAAGAAGCGTATCCTAGAGGTAGAGGAGTAAATTAGAGGGAGAGGAGTATCTTCGAGGTAGAGGAGCATCTTAGAGGTTGATGAGTTTCCTAGAGGTAAAGAATTATCTCAGAGTAAGATGAGTATCCTAGAGGTAGAGGGGTATACATGAGGTAGATGAGTATTCTAGTGGACGAGGGTATCCTAGAGGTAGAGGAGTATCTGAGAGGAAGAGGGGTATCCTAGAGGAAGAGGAGTATCTGAGAGGAAGAGGGGGATCCTAGAGGTAGAGGAGTATCTGAGAGGAAGAGGGGGATCCTAGAGGTAGAGGAGTATCTGAGAGGAAGAGGTGTATGCTAGTGGAAGAGGGGTATCCTAGAGGTAGAGGAGTATCTGAGATGAAGAGGGGTATCCTAGAGGTAGAGGAGTATCTGAGAGGAAGAGGGGGATCCTAGAGGTAGAGGAGTATCTGAGAGGAAGAGGGGTATCCTAGAGGGAGAGGAGTATCTGAGAGGAAGAGGGGTATCCTAGGGGTAGAGGAGTATCTGAGAGGAAGAGGGGTATCCTAGAGGAAGAGGAGTATCTGAGAGGAAGAGGGGGATCCTAGAGGTAGAGGAGTATCTGAGAGGAAGAGGGGTATCCTAGGGGTAGAGGAGTATCTGAGAGGAAGAGGGGTATCCTAGAGGTAGAGGAGTATCTGACAGGAAGAGGGGTATGCTAGAGGTAGAGGAGTATCTGAGAGGAAGAGGGGTATCCTAGAGGTAGAGGAGTATCTGAGAGGAAGAGTGGTATGCTAGTGGAAGAGAGGTATCCTTGAGGTTGATGAGTATTCTAGAGGAAGGAGAGTATCTTAGAGGTAGAGGAGTATCCTAGAAATTGAGAAGTATTCTAGAAGTAGAGGAAGATATATGTACAAGTAGATGAGTATTCTAAAGGTAGATAAGAATGATGCAAGTAAATCAATGTTTTAGAAGTAGATAGGTGCACCCACCTAATTGAGGTAGGTGCATGTTCACGAACGACATTTATGTCCTGGTGGTGAATTAACGCGGAGTCCTTGTTATAGAGAATTATTCTAGATACAGATGAAAGTGATTGGGGGTTAATGAGTGTCCAAATGGTAAAGAATTGTTTTAGAGGTAGCTGAGTATCATGCAGCTAAATGTTTTCGCTAATCAGATTGGCGAAAGTAGCAAATCAACAGGTTTTACTTCTGCCATTTAATGGACTGAAAGGGAATTAGTAAACAGGGACAATTGTATTATAATATTATATAAAAATATGTTGGCATAAAAAATACATAACTGGGAAATTGTATTATTTGCAGTAAATTCTTAAGATAAAACTTCGTCATACAGCCACTATTTGTTCAATTAACTTGTATGGTTTGAAGGACTTTCTAATATAAAAGCGAAAATATATTTGTAATGTTAGGATTGAAAAAAAGAGAGAAAAAAGTGGTGATTGAATCAAATGATCTTACATCGAGACTTAATAATGTACTCAGATGTTCATACTTCATATTGTTTAATTTTGTCAAACATAGATTTGCTGTGGACCTCTCCAGAAATACTGAAGTGTCCAAGATCACCTAGTGCTTCAATGGGTCAAGCTGGGGACGTGTATTCTCTTGGTATTATGATGCACGAAATCATACAGCGTAACGGACCGTTCAGTATTGAGTCAGGTGGAATCACGCCAGAAAGTGAGTGGGACCTTTACGGTTGCCAGTCAAGGTTGATACTTGAACCATATTAACGTTAAGATCAGTTTCAATAGATAAGAGGCACATCATACCAACATTATATGTAAAATATTAAATATACATTCGCATATACAAAAAACATTTTTATATTACTATAGATTTTGCTATGTCATTAACATTAATTGTATTACGAATCTGCAGAGATTATAGAGTCTGTGGTCAACCAGTCCGCTAAACCATTCCGTCCAGTGTTTGAGGTCAACTCGTGTCCCGCAGAACTTATGAATGTGATCAAATCGTGTTGGTTAGATGTACCCACGGATCGAACATTGCTCAAGGATATCGTCAAAGGAGTAAATGACATTACTCAAAATAAGTAAGTATCCTATAGAAACAGTATTTTCTTTTAATTCATATTTTATATTCAAAATTCATAATAAGTTCTTTTCTGGCCAATTGGATACTGTAAACAAACCTATTTTAGCGCACTCAATTTTTTTTTCACTTTAAGATTTGTATCTTTAGTTTTGTCGGCTGATGAAAATAACACTGTTTACAAAAACAATAGGTGACATTATCGAGGTCATATGCGCTTAGCAATATGCAATTATAATTTCTATAGTAACTATAGTAATAATTATAGTACAGTCGAACCTCGTTATCTCGAAGTCGACGGGGTCGTGGGAAAACTTCGAGTTATCCGAGTATTCGAGTTATGCGGGTTCATAGATTTGGTATGAAATTTGCTGTTGGGACATATCACTAGCAGTTGTTGGTTTTATTAATAGTTAATGCTTTTAATCAATCGATAAATGATATACGTAATCAATATAACAAATACAGCTATGTAATTTTACAATAAACACGCTTACAAAAATAGAGTAAGTTATTTCAGAAAAACGTACTTTCGTTTTTAAACGCGATCAAAACGGTTGGACCATTTTGTATCTGTGGTTATCTAGTATTATCATGTGTTTTAAAACAAAATATGATATCCTCTTGAGATTCCCAAATAGTAAATATGTATTTGTATACAACTTACAAAAAATGCACATGCTTATCTGTATGATATATATAACAACACTATTCCGTTTGAATTTTCTGTAAAGGATGTACCTGGGTTCCCCAGTGGAAAGGAAAACAGTATTTAACAAGTTTATTTAATAATCAAATTACGGTTCAATGATGACTGGGTTTTTTTGCAATATTTTTACAGATTTAAGCAAGATAACTTTTTCGATAACCTACTCAAGAGGATGGAGCAGTACGCAAACAATTTAGAAGAGATCGTTGGACAGCGAACTGATCAATATCTACACGAGAAACGGAAAGCCGAAAATCTTCTCTACCAGCTGCTGCCAAAGTAAGTAACGTATATGTAAATATGAATCAGCCCTCAGATGCGTTTCATTAGCATATGAATAACCACTGCAAGACAGTAAAATGAAACATGTAGCGCGTTAGCATTTTCCTGTAATGCAGTGCGTATTCATATTGCTTATGAACCGCATCTGAAAACAGTTTAATATTTATATCTATATGTTCACGTCTTTCTGTCCTTCAAATAAATAATGACGACATATTAAAAATGATAACAATTACATCAAGATTCACTGGAATGTTCGACTGGTGGAACATCCCAAAGCACGTGCATTTTCCTATAACTGCAGTTTTCAAATAAAGTTCGTGGAACAACAACAATAAAACAAACGCTTATCGGTTCGTACTCACTTCATTGTAACAATCATAAAAGAAAATTCAAAACAAAATTATATTGTTTATTATTATGATTATCGACGTCAAACTGCGAATGCATGTTCGCTTAAAAAGAGATTGAGTAATGCGGTCGCGACGGAAAGAATGTCGACGTCCTATTATTTGTGTATATTGAAGAAACATTTTGAATGTTGAGATCGCAAAGAAACTAAGGGTAGGCATGATATATCTGGTCAATTTCATCATGGAAAGACAAATATTTCTCTGGTCGTGAACAAAGTGACCCTGATAGCGACATTCATTTTAACGATGCGAGAAACGCATTTGTCGGAAAGGGAGCCATTAACAGCTTGCTTCTTACTTAACAACGTTGACCTTTTGCATGACTATAATAAGATTCATTGTTGTTGGGCTTTTTTTAAGATAATGTATTCCACCTAAAAGTTAAAGAGTATTTTATTACAGAATAAAATAATATTGTTGTAGTTTCATGGTGGAACAGTCAACTTCTCGCCCAAAAATTCAAAACGAGAGTCGAACGTGATTTCCGTATTGTTTTTTACTTGTTGTTCTAGCTCGTATCTCTTCTCTTTTCGGTTCGTAGTCCGATGACCCGAAAAGATGCTTACTTGGTTTATATAGTGACATTCGTTTATATAGTGACATTTATATAGTGACATTCGTTTATATAGTGACATTCGTTTATATAGTGACATTCGTTTATAAAGTGACATTCGTTTATATAGTGACAT